ACCGAAAAAGAGTACTGTTTGTACACTTATGAAAATTTTGAAAATTGTAAACAACCCCTTAAGCATTTTCTGCTTTTATAAATTGATTGATTGATTGATAATTTTCGTATTTTTAGACACGAAAGAGAAAATTGTAATATATTGTGTTGATGATAATGACAGTGGCTGTTAGCATTATTTGCCTTTATTTTGTTAGACCTCTTTCTTTTTTATAGGCATAAAATATCAAAACATAATCTTGAGGATTGTGTAAAATCATCTGTGGGATTTTCCTAAGTAAATCGATTGATCGTTTTATTTTTTTATATTTCTTAGGCATGAACTGGACCTTGGCATTGAAAATCACCTTGACGGTACACAAATGCAGATTCTGTTCAACTATAACACGATGGAGGGCAGGCTGTACATCAGCTTGGAGAAAATTGTCAATTTACAAGGCCTTGGCCTGCATGAGAGCTCAGCAGTGTAAGTATTCCACTCAGTGATGAAAAGCTGCTATATAAATTAGTAAACAAATGAATAAATATGATAAATTGTTTTACATACATTACAGCACTTTATGTAGAGCTATTTCATGAAGATAGAACGCTGAAAGCATACAGTAGACCAGCTCATGCAGGGACTTTCTTCTTCCCTAAGGGTATCTTTGTGTCTGAGCTACCCGGTAAACTGACACTAGCTACTCTTCGACCATCCACTAACTACTGAACTAATGTTTTTGTAATTTTTTTTTTTTTTTTTGTATTGAATTCCTGACTCATCGTATTTTATGTTGTTTAGATTCCTCAAAGGAGACCTTACACCTTGTCCGCCATCGCAAAACTGTTCGTTTCAAACAGGGGTCCTTGTCGACCTGTCGCAGGGCGTCGTTGGCGTCACCATATGCAAAGATATACCCAGCAGTATACTAGCAAACCTCACGTTACATCTCCTGGCTTTTAGTCATAACGAGAAGAATGAGGAGGAGTGCCTGGTAAGTTTTTATGAGTGAGGTGGAATTAATACTTGTAGTACATTTTTCCTGGTTAGAATCCTGTTACTGCCAATCTCGTCGTTATCAGTTCATTCCGTTAATATACCAATGACTTCTGGCTTCAACCACTTGGATCCTAGGGTGCGGAATTACAGCCGAAGCCTACAGTCCCTGAATGGAGTGAAGATCGACAAGGAGATCAATACAGACATGTCAGGTCCTGAAATTGCCAGGCAGCTACAGCCAGGAATGAGGCCTAGGTCGATCCAAGACCTGCGAACTCCGACAACAGTCACAAGATCCAAAACATTTTCTGCAAATCCTGGTACCCATTACATATGTCAGGTAATTTTAGTCTTTCACTTATTCATTCATTAATTGGACAACAACAGCTCACGAAATTGGAAAAAAATTAGGTTGCAATAATGTAAATAGATTTAAGAAACTGAAAATAAAGTAATTGATACTTTTTTTTTTGGTTAAATATGTTAATTACCAGTAGTAGTTATGGTATTAATTATTAAAAAGTACAATTTCATATAAAATTAACACAAGATGCATTTAGGAAATCTTGATCATGATCTGGGCAGCCTTAGGTTTGTTTCTATTGTGGTCTTAAAACTCTGGGGTCTCAACTAAATTGTTAGGAAAAAAATATGGTGCATCATAAAATGTGCTGCATATTTTCAATTAAAATTGACCAGGGTACAAGTAACATTGTCCAGGTTACTAATACAAAATTACTGTTATTATTATTAAATGTTTTATAATTATTTAATTACTTTTTTCCAGTTAAATCGAAGCGATAGTGACAGCGCAATGCCACTCTACAGAAAACCTTTCACGAGGAATTCAATTGACAGACGAAGTATCAGGTGGAAGACTGTCTCTTATACACATCTAGATGTGTATAAGAGACAGGTGTAAAATCATCTGTGGGATTTTCCTAAGTAAATCGATTGATCGTTTTATTTTTTTATATTTCTTAGGCATGAACTGGACCTTGGCATTGAAAATCACCTTGACGGTACACAAATGCAGATTCTGTTCAACTATAACACGATGGAGGGCAGGCTGTACATCAGCTTGGAGAAAATTGTCAATTTACAAGGCCTTGGACTGCATGAGAGCTCAGCAGTGTAAGTATTCCACTCAGTGATGCAAAGCTGCTATATAAATAAGTAAACAAATAAATAAATATGATAAATTGTTTTACATACATTACAGTACATTACAGCACTTATTTACTGCTATTTCATGAAGATAGAACGCTGAAAGCATACAGTAGACCAGCTCATGCATGGACTTTCTTCTTCCCTAAGGGTATCTTTGTGTCTAAGCTACCCGGTAAACCGACACTAGCTACTCTTCGTCCATCCACTAACTACTGAACTAATGTTTTTGTAATAGTTTTTTTTTGTATTGAATTCCTGACTCATCGTATTTTATGTTGTTTAGATTCCTCAAAGGAGACCTTACACCTTGTCCGCCATCCCAAAACTGTTCGTTTCAAACAGGGGTCCTTGCCGACCTGTCGCAGGGCGTGGTTGGCGTAACCATATGCAAAGATATACCCAGCAGTATACTGGCAAACCTCACATTACATCTCCTGGCTTTTAGTCATAACGAGAAGAATGAAGAGGAGTGCCTGGTAAGTTTTTATGAGTGAGGTGGAATTAATGCTTGTAGTGCATTTTTCCTGGTTAGAATCCTGTTACTGCCAATCTTTGAGTAAGACACTTAAATAGTATAATTTCCTTGCACTCTTGGATGAGAAATTAAACCATGGGTGTCTAACATCTTAACTCTGTGGCAAAAATTATTTGAGCACACATTTTTGAAAAGTATATGGGATTGTGTACTGGTGTAATGAGATATTTACTTCCTGGAATCGTGTTTGTGTAGTCTGTTTTGTTGTGCTATTTTAGGGGATTTTCTCTCATATATCCAAGTGAATCAGTGTTACTGACGTTATCAATATTGTCTAACTTTTAATAGGCCGTTTCTATTGTTACACCAGTTTTATACAAATTCCAAATTTCTGATTGGATGTTATTGTGTGTAGGGACCGGAAGAGGACAATGACATTAAATCAGAATCCTTTTTGAATATTTTTGTTAAGTATGAGTTTATGTATTTATTTGATTTTAAATTATTGATAAACTAAATGAATTGACTGTTTTTTTCAAGGGGGTTGCACAAATCCCATTGTCACCGTTCAGCACCTCACTGCAGCCTTGGATCACATGGTGTAACATAATTAACTGTAGGAGGCTAAGAACATCAGAAACCAGCAAGCCGCAGAGTACTCCAAACCTAACATTTACATCCAACCACCCCAGGTTATGTGTAAGTAGATAATTCTTCCAAATTTTGAATAGAGATTTTACTATCATACAGGATTCAAAAGGAACCAGTTGCATCAGAGAGAAAAAAAGAACCACTTGAATCAGGAACTAGTGAAATTTATGCACCATAGGGCACGGGCCTAACAATACCAAGGTTTCACTTACTAAGAAACTAGAAGAAAACTACCTGTTGCTTAGAACCTAAAGAGTTACTTTAGTCAGGACATATGTGAGGTCTCACTACAAAATGAGTCTCATCGTTAAGAAAATAAAAAAATGAGTTTATACTACATTTTGGTAGATCACATTATAAGCTTTAATTTGGTCTTTGAATAGCTTCCCTAGGATAAATAGATCCAGAGATGTTAGCATTTAAAGTTTACGTGTATAAGAACCAGGTTTTGAGAAAATCGGCCTCAAAGATAAACTAACCTAGAATTACAGAATATGCAAAGAGAACACTGTTTTAGTAAGAAAATTCACTTGAAAAGTACACAATCATAAAATATAAGTATCAAGTTATTCAAAAATATTAAAATCAAAATTTTGTAAAAATGTTACCTTTGACCTTTTTTGTTGATTATCTCAATGTGATTTCACCTACGATGCGTCTCATTTCGTGGTGAGACCTCACATATGTGAACAGCTTGCTTAAGGGATTAAGTGCTCACTTGCTGCAGAAGGGGTTATATGCTTCAGGGCTTACGTGGACAACTTGTCCCATGGCATAAAGAAGCCAATTACTTTCTTCAAGAGCCTTTGATTCTTCTCAGAGTAGAGGTAGCTTGAGAAAATTTATTTTGACGAACCATAAATTTTTTCTTGTGTAGGCAAGTGAGATGGACATTAGCAGACTTTACTCATGCACCAACCATCGAAGGGCTTCCGTGGGAGCTGTAGACCACACCCAATTAGATGCTAGGTAAGATATTTAAAAAGGTTATATTGCGATTCACTATGTGTTAGAAGTTAATAATCACTTGAATATATATGTTAATTTACCAAATCGCGAGAGCATTATGACCACTGGTCATTGGATAAAGTACATTGGCAAACCAAAGACTAAACTGTACTGAAAGCCCGACCTCAGAGTTTGAAGCCCAAAGTAAACCACAACATCACACTCCCACTATATATGTCTAGATGAAAAGCCTTACTTCCAGTAACAAAATTAGTAGCCAAATCTATTTCGGGGGTCCTAAGTCTCATGCAACTCTAATAATAATCGATTTCTCGCAAACTAAGTAAATCTACAGTATCGATGGGATTCACCAGACACAACAGAATATAATTAGATGTCATGACTTCATCCATCTTGGAACCCTTTTTTTTTTAATTATATGTATGTTTTACTATATGATTTTGTTACTCTTTTGTTTAATCAAATTTGCATTATTTCATATATTTTCTTATATGGTGATTGTTTTGTTTCTTTTCTACATTAAGATCATTCTCATTTGACAGCGCTCACATTAAACAGCAGAGGAACTTAACGTCGTTATCAGTTCATTCCGTTAATATACCAATGACTTCTGGCTTCAACCACTTGGATCCTAGGGTGCGGAATTACAGCCGAAGCCTACAGTCCCTGAATGGAGTGAAGATCGACAAGGAGATCAATACAGACATGTCAGGTCCTGAAATTGCCAGGCAGCTACAGCCAGGAATGAGGCCTAGGTCGATCCAAGACCTGCGAACTCCGACAACAGTCACAAGATCCAAAACATTTTCTGCAAATCCTGGTACCCATTACATATGTCAGGTAATTTTAGTCTTTCACTTATTCATTCATTAATTGGACAACAACAGCTCACGAAATTGGAAAAAAATTAGGTTGCAATAATGTAAATAGATTTAAGAAACTGAAAATAAAGTAATTGATACTTTTTTTTTTGGTTAAATATGTTAATTACCAGTAGTAGTTATGGTATTAATTATTAAAAAGTACAATTTCATATAAAATTAACACAAGATGCATTTAGGAAATCTTGATCATGATCTGGGCAGCCTTAGGTTTGTTTCTATTGTGGTCTTAAAACTCTGGGGTCTCAACTAAATTGTTAGGAAAAAAATATGGTGCATCATAAAATGTGCTGCATATTTTCAATTAAAATTGACCAGGGTACAAGTAACATTGTCCAGGTTACTAATACAAAATTACTGTTATTATTATTAAATGTTTTATAATTATTTAATTACTTTTTTCCAGTTAAATCGAAGCGATAGTGACAGCGCAATGCCACTCTACAGAAAACCTTTCACGAGGAATTCAATTGACAGACGAAGTATCAGGTGGAAGAAGGTAAGTTAGAGTTTATTAAACAGCATAGTGCAGTTATTTAAAACTGATTAACCAGTGTGTGCGGTGAACCATGACGGTCTGTGTGTGCGGTGAACCATGACGGTCTGTGCGTGCATTGAAGCATGACAATGTTTGTGTCCCTGATTCTACCCATCAAGTTGATCGTCCTTTTTAAATACAGCTTATAGCACAGAATTGTTTTGTAAGAGACCCTAGAACTGTTGTTCCCATGTATAATGTAGCACAATGTGCAAGTTAGGTAACAAGAACACTATTCAGAAAAAAGTAATTGAACGCCTCCTGGTGGACCAGATGTTTCGGGACCCCCGGCAATCCAGGCCTCTCAGTCATATTGTTAACTAATTTGATCCATTTGATATGAACGATTCAGTGCTGTAATTTTAGAATCTTGCCACAGCCAGTAAATTAAGTTGGGCAAAGCCAGTTTGATTTAGTTCACATACTCTTTCCCATATACTTGAACATAGGCCTACATACCTAAATGTTGATGAGTCATAGAATTGGAATTGGTATCGTTCATAACATCTTAACATTCCATGTAAACACACTCATGTCACTCAACAGTGACAAGTTTGCGAATGTTGCTATGATAAGGTGACATGTGATAATGTGGAATTTCTTCTGACTGATATGTAAGCACTTTAAAGACTTTACTGCTCGTAATAAAATTTGGAAAAACCAACCGCATAATTATACATCGATTGAACAACTTTAGTTTTGGCTGATTTGCTATGCTGTTTGGTGAACCACCTTCTGACTGCCAGTAATAATGATTTCAGAATTTTTTTTTTAATAGCGGCCTCAATATGTATTTGTAAAGTTCATGAGTTCATGGTGATCCATCATCGTGTGCTTGTTAACACTTTAGAGTGAGCTAATTAATTCAGCGCATAAACTACTGGGTATTTTTTTGGCCACCCAGAGTTGTTAGCTGAGAGAAACAAGTTACCAATACGATCTTTCATTTATTCTTAAGCAAAGTAATATTGTCTTTGTGAAATAATATCTTTTCTTATTTTTTGCTTTTCTAAATTGATTTCATGGGCTTCAATGTAAAGTAGGTGTCTGTTTACATTGTAAATTTCTTAACATCTTTCGTAACGATTATCCATATTTTATGATATATAATTCATCAAAGATATAAAAAGAAAAATGACATCGTCATTGAAATAATTCTCAATTTTTTTAGAGTAAAATCCTTGAACCACGTCCGGTGGGAGCAAATGTAGTGTACCAAAAAACATCGCTAGATCTGGAGATGGACTTGCAAGCGTCGCGCGTGAAGCAATTTATGCTGAATGAGGAAATCGACAAACTACGAGAAATTAAGCGCTGCATGGAGGAGGCAAAAATGAAAGGTAAATTTACAAGAAATGTCTACTTACAAGAATTGAGTATTTATTCCCTTTCAATTTGATTAGCAACAGGAACCAAATAAATTATTAATGTAGTTAAGTGTTTAGCAACTCCAGCCAAATTTAAATATATCATTTATCTTAAAAGAATGAAACAATATTTCCTTTAAATTTCGTTCTGTGTTGGCTTTCGAAATAAATAATGAATCATTAATTAAGTGAAGTCTTTTAGCAGGTGAAACTAAATGAACGTTAATATAGTTATTTTAGCAACTAACCAAATTTAAACATTCTTTTTATCTTAAGAATTAAATATTTATTTCCTTTAATAACGATTCTGTGTTCAGTTTCTGACTCATTAATGTATACAGGTGTTTTAGCAACTGTAACTAAATAAATCAATGTAATGAAGTAGTTCAGCAACTGGAACCAAATGTTGTATATTCCTTATTACAATAATATCTTGTATCTTGTACAAATCACTAGGATTTTAAATGTAGTCACTTATATCAGGTCCCAATATAACTAAGTTCATCTGATGAGGCACAACATATTTCAGAATAGATAATTGAGTAACACTAAAGTCAATATAAGCATATAAATATTAAAATCTAGTGGCAAAACAGGGGGCACATGCCCCCCTGGCCCCCTACTGGATCCGCGCCTGGTATATGTATGTGATATGACATGTATTATGATCAATCATTTAGTATCCTGCATTTCCCTCAAAATATGAAGTGCCCAGAAATTGTATAATAATCACGAAACGTAAAATAGTTTTAAATTAAAAAAATTTTTTATTCAAATTCTTCTTCAGGTGAAGTGTCAATGCCGACGTCTGTCAGCAATAACAACATCATGAAACGACTTCTAGATGATGCGGAGATGGAGGTCCTGCGACGACATCAAAGCCACGAGGAGATGCAGCAGGCGAAGAAGTCTGACCGTCTGATGAAGAAGACCATCCAAGGCGCTCACCAGATGGCCAAGAATTCAAGCAGTCAGGGAGATATCACAATGTTCAGGTAAGATGACCATATTTGGTCATGATGTGCCTATATATGGTCATGATGTGCCTATATATGGTCATGATGTGATGTCACCATGACCATATTTAAGCATGTCAAATGTTTTTGTCAAATGAAATTTGATAGTGTGGACAGGACTTTAGAGCTCTGTCCACACTGTCCGTCCAATTTTATGTGAAAAATTTGTGTGATGTGCCCATATATGGGTATGATAATGTCATGTTAGTCCTCCCAAATATGGGCATATCACATTTTAGAAATTATTATAGGATGATTTTAATGACTTCAAAAGAAAAAAATTACAATTTATTAACATTTTCTTACTTTTCTTTCAGGGAAAAGTTGGAGTTCTTTACTGCAACAGAGGGACATGTACTGCCCCAAAAATATTAGATGTTCCACTAGGGGTGAATGTAAGGTGCTTGTGCTGGATCGCAGGGCGAAAAGTTCAATGAACCTTGTTTTTCTTTTAGTTAATTTTTTTTTTTAAATCAATTGTATTTTACTGGCAGTCCAAAGCATTTGTATTGTAACCAATTCAGGTCTAACTGTTATTCATGAAATTTTTTTCCACTATTGAAGTGAAAAATATAATTATATTTATGAATTATATGTATATGCATATTTATATATGTATATATATAAATTTGCATGAAATATGCTGTTAACCATGCAGCAGGAATTTTTACTTTGCAATTCTCAGCTAGTATGTTTTTCTAAAAAGCAATGCTCATGGCTTTCTGGATTACAACCAATTGCCAAACGTCTGACTCAAGATGTTTGAATTTTGGCGGATGAGTGTAGGCTCACTGTAGTTACCACATTCATATGTGAAACTGCCACAAAGGTCACCGTGGGCGTGAGAGACGTTTTGTCGGACAATTGCTAATTGTAATTTACTATCCTTCGGTGAGCTTGTTTACCATTTCATTAGTTCGTGTGCTTTTAATTAATTAAACTGCATTCACAAATTGAGATTCAAGAGAAAAACGTGCAAAATTGAATGTGACAGACATATCTGCTGCATTTGGAAAACGTAATCAAATTGTTAGTAGAATTGTTCCTGTATTACGACATACCCGCATTTAATTAATATGTTATTATGTTATTGGGAACATTTGATGCTTTATTTCCAAGACTCAATGCAGGCTGGGAGAGTGGAGGTGTTTTTGAAAAAAAAAAAAATGTGCATTTTTAGAATTGAACACAATACATTGGGATATGAAGGCAGGCACTTGAACTTCCAAACCACCTCTGCACTCCATTAATTGTAATATTTTATTTATGTTAACTTTTTCTGTTGTATAGACCAGTAATGCTTTTTTGTGAAAATTGTGACATCATTCATTTTTATTTTTAATAATTCTCATATAAAAACTATGATGTTTTTGAGTTAGATCACCTAGCCTTTATATGTGGCCTTATTCATTAGGTAATACAATAAATACCAGACGAAAAAGCGCCCTCTATTGATACCTTAGTTTTATCACATACCTATTGAATGTTCAATATGCTACCTCATTTTCATTCTTAATTTTAATTGTAAATTACACAGGAAGTGTTACACCAGCTTAACCCAATACCTCTTGAATAGAGTGGACCGTAAATACCATATTTTGTAAGCTGTATCAATACAGTGCCTGAGTTTTATCTGGTATTGACTAAGGCTACATTCAGACCTGAGAGATACACCAAGCATATCTAACGCTGGGCGTAGGTTAATCCATGGCATAACTAACGAGATGTTCAGACTGGGCAATTATTAAATGCAAAGTATTTGTAATAGCCCATTTTATTTCCTTTTACATGTATGCTTATTGTAATTGATCAAATCCTGGCCGAGTTCAAAATCATTGATGCATGATTGTCATAACTCAGTGGGGTACGCTAATCTGGGGTCTCTTGGTAGATTATCGTAATACTGGCATTCGCTACGCCACACACAAGTTCACACCACTTGATTAACATTACACTAGCGTATATCTCGCTGTGTCTGAACATAGCCTAAAATACTTAGCAAATAAGGCTTTGTGTGAATGCTAGTCAAACTAATAAAATTGAGCACACATTCCATCGCACAGAAGTCATAGGATTGTCGGCCGATGTACACGCTGTAACTTACTGCGTTGTCTATTGAATTGCGCCAGCCAATGACTGTCTGGACATTAAAATAGTGATAGCTTTGCCATCATCATCATTATTTATATTTTAAGGTTACATTTTATCTTTCATAAAATATTGCAATCAGTAGCAGTATTTCCCTTGATTTGTAACAAGGCCTTGATGTACAATGAAATTATTTGTGGAATACCTAACAAGAAAGGAGTAACTGACAGGCCTAATGTGCTTTAAAGTAGTGCTGCAAATCCACTCTATCACTATATGACCTTTTGTATGCAACTGAGAATTTATTATTGAAAAACTCATAAGAAAGATGTTACCATAAGCAGTATGGTTGTTCTACACATGCATATTCCATTTTTTTACTGATTAAAAAAAAGTATTCTTAAAACACACCGCATATGATGGAAAGTAATTTTTTTTAAGTTAAAATAATTTAATTTAAATGGATCTTGAATGAATTTTTTGGTGTTAAAGTTTAAGGGATTCTATCAATGTTTGGCTGAAATACCTCAAAATTCAATTTTTACTTAGAATATTTAAGTTCATTATTGTGTTTTTGTTTGAAATTAGAACAAGAAAATTTTCCTCTTGCCAATAAAAGATGCATTAATGATACAGTTGCTATGTCCTTTGCTAAAGCCCTGTCTACAAATTATGCACATATATAGTCATGATGTGCCTATATATGGTCATGATGTGATGTCATCATGACCATATTTAGACATGTCACATGTTCTTAATTGTCTGATCAGGGCTAGACATTTAAATTGGTTGGTAACCAATTTAACCCTATAGATTAGCAAGACCTGAATTTGTTTCTTTAATTTCTTTTTCTCATTAGAATTTTGTAAATTAATTGTCTCTTTTGAAAGAGCGGATTAAAGTTTTCATTGAATCGGGCCAATAGCCTTTCTGAAGTGTCAATTGAACTGACCACTCAGAAGTCTTTATTTTTGGGCCTTAGCAACACTATCCAAGAGGCGTTGCTTGGTAGAAAGGGTCTATTTATCTAAAGTGATTACCTTGAATAATAACATTTCTCAACAGTGGAAATATTACCAATAATTTTGGGGTTATCAGTAATCAGTGTAGTTTGTATGATGTTTTCTGTATTATTATTATTTTGAATACTGTTATTGTTACTATTATTAATTATTAATGTCATTAATTTTTTTTCTAGTGTTAAGTAATGTTTTAATGAGTGCTTTGTCTGGTACAAAGCAATTTTTATATGTAAATTTTATCTATTGATTTCAGCTTCTGTCATTCATAGAGAAACATAGACTAAATTAAACATATTTAAGGGAATATTTTATTAAAGTATTTTAGAAACAATAATTAACCAATCAAATATTTTACAATGTTTTTTACTGTATTTTAATTATTATTGTTATTTTTCGTATCATTTTTTCATTATTTTTTCATTATCGTTCTGTGATCTTTATCAATAATATGATTAAATTGTATTTATTTGATGCTCTTAAAAATATACAATTATGCACAAAAACTAACTAGGCAAGAAAAAAGAAAGAATTTAAAATTATTCACATAAAAGCATTCAGTTCCTATAAACACAGTAGTACAACAAATCACAATAAACACAGGGATAAAAAATAATATACACATTGTTGAAAATGTTTTTATTATTATTGGTGCAGTACCATGATCTGTTCTAAAAATCCTGAATTAAACAGAAAAGAAATTGGACTAATTTCGTCAGAAGAGTATATCTGGCGAAATTGTATGGTTTTAACTTTTATGTAATTTTATATTTTATAATGGACCGTTCTATAGTGTCAATAACTGGCCAATCAATGGGAATACGCGCATGTCCTACAAACACGCGTGTTATCCCACAAACGCAGCATGTGTTTACGTACGTTTACGCTATTGTTTTGTTGGACCTTGGCAACCGTATCCAAGGGGCGGGGTTTAGCGGAAAGGCCATTATAATAAGAGTCAACTATTGTGGTATTGTTATTCTACTCACGTCAACAAATATAGAGCTTCTAAGTTAGTTTTTTTTTAATTTTTTTTTTCCTTTAATTTATGGTATCTGTATTTAATAATTTCAGATAATGTAACATTTTGGTGTTGGCTGCAAAACATAAGTAGATTGTTACAAATTGTAAAAACATGTTTTATTTTGTAATACTTTGATGAATGTTCACCAGCGTTTGTTTTAATAATATATTGGCAGGGCCAATGCGAAGTATATGTATAAAATTATTGTAATACTTATAAGTATATTTTAACGGAGATAAACGTTAACTTGTAATATGCCTGTACTTTTGAAGTAAGACTTAGAACCGAGGGTCAATGCAGGGGATAGCACTCTTATACTTTTCATGCTTACGATGATTTTCGATAGGTGCATCCATCTAAGGTGTAAATACTTGCATTTAAATTGGCAAGTGATAGATATAAACACACATCAAGGTGTAGGCCTTTTTTTTTTTACAGTAGACGCATAACCTGTAATCTAATGGGGTTTTTTTTAAAGCTCTGTCCAAGCTATATGTTTTATTTCACAAATAGAGAGATTTTACAACCTTACGAAAATAATAACGATTACGAACACGTCATTATCGTTATCGTCGTTCGTGCCTACAGCATCCTTGACAATATTATGCTATAGGCCTACGAGCTGAATACGATCCTCGATTCATGCAGAAGGCACGAATTGCCTATGTTGTGACAGCGTAAGCTTGTGAAAACTCCCTAATACCTGTAATTTTCTCAATAGGTAGTTTTCGCCGCACGATGTTAACCTTAACTTTAACGTCAGTACCCAACATGCAGCGTGATAGCTCCACTCCTATTGTAAACAAATCGAAATACGCATGCGCAAACTCGTAACTAAAGTGCGTCGAGCACGTAAAATCCTGAAATTAACGTACTCCGCAACGCAAGATGAATAAATTATGACGTCATCCGTTAAGGTTAACGTCGTGCGGCGAAAACTGCATATTATGGGCTACATTACGTTATATAAAAATGATGGGTTCTATAGTGTGGACAGAATTCCAGCTAATTTTTTTTCCACCGATGTGACAACGTTGTAATATTTTGTAAAGAATATCTGTAATAAATACATTTCAAAGTAAAAGTGATTAATATTGTTTTGTGTTACTTTTTGTAGAATATAATTTTTATATAAATATAAACTTTGATTGGGCAGTTTAGTTCGAATATCTTATTATTAATTTTGTCTAGTTTGTTTTTCGAATATACATAATCTAAACATAAACAGAATTTAATGTTACAATACATAAAAATTAATCCGATTGTTTCGAATATATTATGGGTAGACTAACGGAAAAAAAAATGTTCGGTTTGGTACTGGGATCGAGAGCATGCTCTTTTGTTCGGTTTGCAGTACCAGGTTGAATTATAATATTGACGTAGAACGTTAATTTAATTTTATGAATGGATGCATTGCTAGCAATTACTATCAACTGATTATCCACGTTATTTGTACTTCATGGTTAATCAAGTTATGATTTGATCAAACCAGTCGTCGACGTCACTCTACTCTTGTAATTAGTATTTGTAACCATTCTAATGTATGTCTGTAGTGAGAAATTTGTGACAGTGATCACTCAATATAGGCATCATTATCACCAACATATTATTATTATTATTGTTATTATTATTACTGTATTATTATCACGTTACGAATACCTACCTTAAGGTGAACTTAGGCAATGGAGAAATTAGAGAACAATTTTTTTTAAAACGACTTTAAGGGGAAATAACATGATGTTAAAGGGAAAATAACAAAAGATATTCACATTAAATCCGATTTAGAGACAATAATAATAATTATTATTATTATTATTATTAATTTATTCATTTTTATGTTAGGCCTATTTATTTATTTATTTTTATATTATTTTTTGGCTAATTTTTATCATTTTTTTATTTCATTATTCAGTAATTTTTTTTTTTGTAATTCTAAATATCTGAAGATCATGGTACTTGTAGTGGCTGCAATCAGGCACTTGCTCAATTTATTTAAATTACTTCCGATGCTATAGCGCCCTCTAACTGGACGATGGATCACTTGATTGTTCGATTCATAATGAAGCAGACAAACAATACTTTATGGTTGAAATACAGTTGTGTATTTGTCGTCATAATTTCAACTGAAATCAACAAGCGAGACAACGGTCGATTCCCTTCAGTTGAAGAAGAGCGTACGTAAGAATTGCCTCAATATTTGTCAATATTAATAAAAATGTAACAATCTTAAGCCAGAAGCGCATGTCGATAAGTTTTGCTCTGGTGATCATTCTTTGATTAGATTTTGCTTTATTTGATATCATTGTAGCTGTTATTTTAAAATACTGTGCATTTTATTTGATGTCCATTAGCAATCTGTAAGATTAATGATCTCATCATACTCGTTTCAAGTGGAATCCGAGACCATCCGATACTCAAGAAATTTTTACAAAGATGCTTTATCAAAATGGACTTTTACCAAGGATTTCTTTTACCTTGAAATATTCTTTGGAATATATTGTACTTCAGTTCTATCCTTCATTGTGTCGAGGAAAGGTGAATGAGGTCTTCATAGGCCTATTACCTAATTGAGATTTGACTGCGATGCACAATTTTCGAAATCATCTTTGTTGGTTTGCCAAACAACAAAGTATTACGAAGGTCATTTTATAATATTGAAGGTGTTACACTTTCTTTAGAATAAATAAAGTACGTACTGCTAAGGCCTTACACTTTTATGCATCGATTTGTAAATGGATTCTCACACTGGTTGGCACAACTCCGCATTTCTAACAAACCAAACGATTTTATTTTTAAGGAAAATAATTCTGGGACATACTTAGTTAAATTTAGTATGAATTTTAAAATCTACAGTTACATTGTCTTCGAATCAAGATGCTTCCGAGTTCCAGCAAGTCGTTTAGGATAAGTTTAATCCGGTAACACGTATACGGAATAGTTTGTATTATATTACACTGGTCATCACAAATTATTATATGAATACATACATCCGGATATGGCTACAGCATACTGCATGATGGAATTGAATTCGACTGACCAAGAGTTGGAATACAATTCGATCGCTATGGTGTTCCAGAGTGGATTGATGTTGTTTATAATTCTGTCGGGTTTAATTGGAAATGCCATCACTCTCTATGCTTTGAAGATAAACACTGTATTCCACACGAAATCTTATGTTTTTATAGCAAATCTGGCCGTTGCTGACTTGCTGAATTGTTTGCTTGGAATGCCTGTTATTCTTGTGTCTTCTATATTAAATGAATGGGTCTTCGGGGAAGCGCTATGCAATATCATGGGCGGCACGACGGTTCTCTTTTGCTCGACAAGTTTGCTAACTCTGTGTGCGATATCGGTAGAACGGTATGTCTGTATAACCGATCCGTTTAAATACGACATGAAATTAACAGAAAACAGATTGAAGTTTGTAGTTTGCTGGACATGGTTTCAAGCGTTTATTTTTGCTGTTCTTCCGATCACCGGATGGTCAACATATGTTTATATATCAAATGAGTTTATCTGCACTGTAGATTGGGGTAACCATGAGAGTTACACAATAACTCTTTTCATTTGCTGTATAGGGGTACCGTTTGTCTCCATGATGTATGCTTACTTGAACATACTAAAAGTTGCACGTGCACAACTGCGCAAGGTAGCAGCACTAGATTTTGCCCAACCCTCGAATGCAAAAACCAAGTTGCGTAAAGAAACTAAGGCTGCGTTCACGCTGCTAATTGTTATAGGAACGTTCTTCATTTGCTGGATACCTCATGTAATAAGTATGGCGTGCTTAATGTTCGAGAATTGCCCTCTACCCGATTGGTATTTCACGACAACCACGTGGTTAGCTATGGCAAATTCTGCGTGTAACCCAGTAATTTACGGCATTCTTAATAAAACTTTCAGAACTACTTGCATGTCGATCTTACGACGACGGTTTCAAACACAGTCACGTATATTTTCTATGACTGCCAAACCTGAAATATCTCGCGCCAATAACCACAACATTGTGCACCATATCTCGTCAATACCTTAATATTCTTACATAGCTTTCAATATAATATGGATACCCGTTTCTTAGTGAAACATATGCTGTATTATAGACATTCATTAGGGCTTATGTGATAGTCCAATTTATTCGTTTAATAATTTCAATATAACTGTATATAGGCCTCGGTGTGGGAATATCAATTATATAGTAAACTATAACAGAATATATACATTACTTCGACACTTTTAGTGTTATTATTTCAAAAGCTATGTCATGCCCTCGTGAGAATGCTCTAATAACATAAAATACGTACGTTCATTGGAAGCCAACTCTTTCTTCTTTTGAAGAAGTTTTTGTAGTTTTGCAATTCTATGTTTTCCTTTATTTAGTTTAATATCATACAATTGCTTATTGTAAAATATTTAACAACAGGGCTAGGATGAAACAATCAGGTAACCATATTATGTATCGTACCTGTTTTGCATTGTCAACCGGGAAAGAAAACATTCATAAGAAAAAAAAGAGCGTGGTTAAAATTAAATGGGCAAATTGTCTATTCGAGTGTTTTACTTAATATCCAAAATGCCACAATGTTGGCGTCTGAATAACCATTATAGATCATCACACACCAACCAACTTACATGTGCACAATAATATAGTCCGTCAACTTTCAAGCACCAGGCCGTGGAAATAACATAATTTGAGACCACCACCGGAAGTAATGAGACATAAAAAGTATAGTACTAGTAGATAGTATGTGGGACCGTGTTAGTCAGATAAATATATATATATATATATATAAATATATCCTATATATATATTTATAGGATATATTTATATATATATATATATATATGTATATCACAATGGTAGCTCTTTATTGAGTAACTTTATATAGTTTATTATTCAAACTTTAGCCAGAGGTCCATTCTCCACTTGTTGAAGCGCGCCAGCATAGACTGCTGGTGAACCTTGTTTAATAAATTATTTACTCAAATTAGTTACTCAATGAGGTGCTACTACCAGTGATTAATTTTCATAAAGTGAATCAATATATTCTATTCAATTCAAAAGACATTTATTTTCGTCCATAAAAAAAAAAAAAACAATGAAAGAGAGAGTACAAAGTACAATGCGAACAAATATATAAAAACAAATTTAAAGATAAAATATGGGCCAAGTACAGAATTTTTTTAATTAAAATTAAAAGCTTATATAGCTTACGCTTGGTTTACATTGCTAGCAATTAGGCTTGAGAAATGTTTCCATGCTTTTACCTATATCTATTATGTAGATTATATGTAGTCGTTCCTATTTTTGTATTTATATTCCCGTGTAATACATCCTTTTGTATGCACATTTCTTTCGAAAGTGCAAGTATAGTTGAAAAGGGGCAATTTACAGTCTTAACATCAATTTTAATATAATCTCAAGCCCCTTTTCCACACAATATTGTTGACAATTCGTATATAGAAAGGTACAATATAACACATCGTGCGGGACGGTCCCGCATTTCAAAGTGATTTTGAATGAAACACGCATTTTGCAGAAACACATGCGTGATCATAAATTTGTTACGCATTTAGCACTATCACGAATTCAGTGGAAAATGTATTTATAAATAGAAGAAATTGGTTTTATTAAAAATATAAAGACGGTAATGCAGTAACTTGAGCCATTAGAGAGCTTCGTTATCTAATTCGAGAATCATTTCACCGACAATATTTCTCTTTCTATACCAAAACAACCCAGGCAACCACGCACTTAGTAGGATTTGGAGGCGCGTGCGGGCTTGCGCGTTCATTGTCACCAACTGTTGATTAGGCATATTTGGCTGAAACTCGGACTCCACTGGGGCTCCACCCCTGGACCCTGGAGGCGGCCGTGGTGGCCCCTGACCCCCAGCCAACTGGTGTAGTAACGCATTTCAAATCTCTTAGGTTGGTAACTACGGTATTTGTATCTTATTCCGAAAATAATTTATTTTTTGCCCCAGTGTCGCTACAAAACCAGTAATGAGAGCGTTCCTCGTGGGTCCGTTTTAGCTGAGAATGCATGTACGTCCATGCTCTCCGATCGTGAAGTAAAGGCTGATGGGAATTTTCTGAAGTGAGAGAATATTAATGATGGCCTGATGGATTCACATTATGCATGTTTTTGTTATTTCTAATTAGTACAAAAATGTTTACATTTATATTGCCTATTATTATTATTATTATTTATTATTGTTTATGTCAATCAATGTGTATGGTGGGCCTCCCACTGTGGTTTGGTAAACAATTATATTAGCCTATGGAACAAAAGAAGAAAATTTGCATATACCTGTATTATAATAGGCCTATGTGTTTAATTACGATGAAATATTGCTTGATCATGCTTTTTAAGCTTTGGCTAAAGGAACACGCGGCTGTTTGTTTTTCAGTGTATTACAGAGTATTATGTCCCCTTCTTGATTGTGCTTTTTAATATTTCTAAGCATAATCCTTCGATACCTGGAAGGTTCAGAATATTCATAAGTTCAATGTTGCGGTACTTTAATCAGTCTGATTGAAAGAAGTGCAGCAAGTTGTTTTTTTTCCCTCATGTCTAGTCTACTACCGGTATGGGCAGGTAGGATATGTCAAATATTGGTAAATCGTTTTAGTAGTTTTTTTTTTTATCTTCAATTAAATAAGAAGCAGTACATAAATAATTCATGTAAAAAACATAAAGATTTCTGCTCTCTACTTCGTCACCATATGTTATATTTTCTGCTATTAAAATTTTTTAATAGCAAAAATTCATGAAGAAAAACTATTTAATTGGTTTTTTTTTTATCTTCAATTAAATAAGAAGCAGTACATAAATAATTCATGTAAAAACAAAGATTTCTGCTCTCTACTTCGTCACCATATATTATATTTTCTGCTATTAAAATTTTTTAATAGCAGAAAATTCATGAAGAAAAACTATTTAATTGAAGTTGAGTGGCCATGATAAGCTAGAATATAGGATCACCGTAATAGGAAATGAGGTGAAAACAATTAATGAAGCACTCCTTAAGACAATTTTCCGAATGTAATATGTGGCCGTTTTCGGCTCCCTGTCTCCCCCCACCCCCTTCCATTCATATGCCTGACAGCCGGGTGTAACGCTTCAAATCAAAAGTCAAGGTAATAAATATTCTTGTATTTGAAACATAATCCGAAACGTGTCTATATGACTGTGAACAAAATTAATGGATACAACATCATTCCCAACACATTATAGGCCTATTAATAATGCTAATAAGATTCTGATGATAAGAAGCAGTACATAAATAATATGTGAAATCAATTATTCATAAAGATTTTTGCTCTCTACTTGGTCACCATATTAAATTTCCTGCTATTAACATTTTTTAATAACAGAAAATTCATGAAAAAAACTATTTAATTGAAGTCAATTAGACCTATTCATAAAGATTTCTGCTCTCTACTTGGTCACCATATTAAATTTTCTGCTTTTAACATTTTTAATAGAAAATTTACGAGGAAAACCTTTTTAATTGAAGTCAATTATTCATAAAGATTTCTGCTCTCTACTTGGTCCCCATATTAAATTTTTTGCTATTAAAATTTTTTTAATAGCAGAAAATTCATGAAAAAAACTATTTAATTGAAGTTGGGTGGTCAAGTTTGATAAGCTAGAATATAAGAGTCACCATAATAGGAGATGAGGTGAAAAAATTAATGAAGCACTCCTTAAGACAGCTGGGATTGAAACACCGATCTGAATTTGGGTAGGCCTAATCAAACCATTCCCACTACGCGCCAAACCGCTTCCGCTTATTTATTTATTACATATTCGGCACAACAAATCAGAAAAGGACCAGAGGGGTGCCTGGAGGACACCATGGGCTGAGAGCTCAACACAAGGTGTGGGTATCCTCTAAACCCCTGACCAAACGAACAAACAATAACAACAAAACAGCACAAAGGCAAAGACAACATATCAGAATAAAATAGCAAATAAAAAGATTGATAAAATAGATTTTAAAAAATGTTACAGACAAAAGTTAAAAAAATGGGTTTACAGGATTTCATTTTGCTAACCACACAGTTTAAATCGATGTTAAAATACCAAAAAGAACAAGGAATGATTAAAAACTAGCCTACATGTTTAAAATACGGTTTAGAATTGGAATAATTACAAAATGTGAAAATTAAAAATATATACAGGATGTTTAAACAGTAAAACAGACTGCAAGCAGCACAAGTTAAAAAATCACCGTTATCTAGTTTTCCCATGAAGAGTGTAAAATGTTGTGAAACCGTATTTTCAAAACCATGTTCGTTCAGACTTAAACGGAGGTTGACAGGAAGATCGTTCCAGATGTTTGCAGCCTCAACATAAAGTGAGCATAAGAATGAAGTGCGAACATGAACCCTAAAGAGCGTGGTGTGATCGTGGGATTTTAGTATGAAATGAATATCAAGATTAGATGGGAAATAGCGTGAGGAAAAAATAACACTTTAAACGCTCCTCCTGACAGGAGAGAATATATGAATATTGATGGGAATTACCATACTGAATATGTAAAAGTAGGCACTGCTTACTACTACCTGAAAAAAAGCAAATTCTATTTTACCAAAAGATATTAACGCACAATGTATAAATCACTAGTTGCTCCCTATTTTGAATATTGTCATGTTATCCGGGGGCGCTCAAAATAATGCATAATAACTAGGAGGACTAGGAGTGAGTCTAGCAGGGAAGACTTACAGAGTCCAAGCAGAGTCTTAACTTAGATAACCTTGAGAGGAGGCTGTATCAGAATGAGGCCATCACTATGTTCAAAATTACCAATAATTTAGTACCAACATACCTAACAAGCAGATTCCATAATAAAGAATGTCTCTATGACACCAGATCTGAAAATAATTTAACACTACCCAAACCAAGAACAGACTATAAAAAAAACGTAGCTTATCATACAGAGGTGCTAAATTATGGGATGAACTTAGTGATGACCTCAAAAATTCAAATACAATTTCCAATTTTAAAATGAAAATAAAAATCAGTTAAAGTATTATAGTTAATAATGTAAGTTTATTTACGATAATTCAGTTTAGTTAATGCAGTTAAGTTCCTTTCAATAGGCCCTAAAGTGACTTTTTTTAATTAGTCTATTTTTACCTTTTTGTTTTAATTTCTGTTTCGTCGAGTTATAACAATGCCTTGACGGCCTTGTTGAAAAACACCATTGGGATCAACTAGTCTTTATGATCACGCAATAACATGTTGACGGTAATTATAGTAGTTCCACATTTTCAGAGAAATTATAATATTAAGGCGCGTTTGTTTGAGTATATACGTATCCATTTTACACTTTAAAATAAACGCCCCTCTCAAACCCTTCTCAACAGTAAATGCCCCTGGCGTTTAATCGAATAAATACTACCGGTATGTTATAATTATTAGTGAAGTAAGTTATTCAGCAATAGAAATGAGCGCTGCTCTGCAATAAGTTTTACGTAGTTCTGAAATGGTAGCAGTCTACATCGTATTTTTTTTTTTCTTGCGCTTTTTTCTGGTGTAGAGTTCCATTTATTCAATTCAATTCAATTCCTTTTAATTTCAAACAATGTTCATATCAAATAATACACATAAGTGAAATTAAAAATAGAATTAACAGCTTATTTCATCAACATAGCAAATTTCAGTCAAGCAGATTATTATTCCAGCTCAATTTTTCAATAACGAATTTTAAGGGATGTTGGATCATCTCGATGTAA